GACTGAAACAAAAAGATTGGCCGCCCCGCCAGTCCAACAAAAAAAACATCCCACCTTTTAAGCTTTGTATAAAAAAACCTTTTCAACTTTTCGAAAAACTTCAACTTAAAAGCCAGAAAAGATGATTGGAGACACCCCGCTGCGAATTCTGCTGGTCGGTAACGGTGGTAGAGAGCATGCTCTCGCATGGAAGCTCGCACAGTCCGATCGCGTCGAAAAGATCATTGTCGCTCCTGGTCCGTATAAGCATCCCACCTCATCTATGACATAATGATACATAAAATCTAACAAGTACATATAATCAATATAGGAAACGGAGGTACTGCTGGATCTGTTCCAAAAACTTCAAACAAGAAAATCAGCGTCACAAATTTCGAAGCCCTCGTAAGCCTTGCCGTCGAAGAGAAAATAAACCTCGTCGTTCCTGGTCCCGAAGTACCCCTCGTCCAAGGCATCGAAGAACACTTTCGCAAAGGTTATCCGCAATACCCATTCAATCCACCTCTATTAATTGAGGACATAAAGTATTAATACGAGCAAATATAGTCGGAATACTATGCTTCGGTCCTACAAAGGAAGCGGCCCGCATGGAGGGCTCCAAAACCTTCTCCAAAGACTTCATGAAACGACACAACATCCCGACAGCAGACTACAGAAACTTTACAAACCACGATGAGGCTGTCGAATATATCAAATCCGCACCCTACAATGTCGTCGTCAAAGCTGACGGTCTAGCGGCCGGCAAAGGTGTCGTAGTAGCTACTTCAAAAGAAGAAGCCCTCGACGCCGTCGAAAAAATCATGATTGGCAAGATATTCCAGGAAGCTGGTGAGCAGAACCATTATTTCTCCATACAACCCTTCTATTTCTGATGAGAGTGATATAGGCAGCGAAGTAGTCATTGAAGAATGCCTCGAAGGCGACGAACTCAGCATCTTAGCCTTCAGCGACGGATATACCATCGTTCCCCTTGTCCCAGCTCAAGACCACAAGAGGATATCTGACGGCGATAAAGGCCCCAACACTGGCGGCATGGGCTGCTACGCCCCTACCAAAATCGCACCCCAATCCGTCGTCGACGACATCACAAAGAGAATACTGCAACCTACGATTGATGGTATGAGACGAGAGGGCATGCCATTTGTCGGTATGCTCTTCACCGGCCTCATGATGACCAAGAGTGGTGCGAAAGTACTAGAATATAATGTCCGCTTCGGCGATCCAGAAACCCAGACCGTTCTTCCGTTGTTGAGCAGAGACACCGATTTGGCGCAAATAATGGTCGCATGCTGCGAGCACTGGCTGGATGCGGTTAAGATTACGATCGAGCCTAGATTTTCAACAACCGTAGTTGTGGTCGCTGGTGGATACCCTGATTCTTACGCTAAGGGTGATGTGATGAAACTGGGACCGCTAGAACCGGGCTTGGAAGCTACGCTATTCCACGCAGGAACGAAGGAAGAAGACGACTTGTTGAAAACAGACGGTGGTCGAGTCATCGCTATCAATTGCATCGCTGATGATTTGGAATCGGCCGTGAAAAGTGCGTATAAAGGTGTCACCGCCATCAATTTCGCTCAAATGTACTATCGAAAGGATATTGCACACCGGTGAGTTCTAATATCCTTGATATCACAGTATCATTCGCGAACTAACGGATACTAGTGCATTCCGACAAGAAACTCCCGTTGAAGAGGGTCTCACTTATGCTTCGGCAGGTGTCTCAATCGATGCTGGTAACGCTCTAGTGGAGAGAATAAAAGCGTGTGTCAAATCCACAAGGCGTGTAGGCGCAGACGCTGACCTCGGCGGCTTTGGTGGGGTCTTTGACTTACCCGCTGCCGGATACGGTGGGCCACTAATCATTGGGTGTATCGACGGAGTGGGTACTAAGCTCAAGGTCGCCCAAATGGCTGACAAGCATGATACCGTCGGTAAGTCTCACTTCACCTGCCTCCCATCCCTATATTAGGTATTGATAGTGGAACAGGCATCGACCTCGTCGCAATGAACGTAAACGATCTAGTAGTCCAAGGTGCCGAGCCACTTTTCTTTCTCGACTGCTTCTCCTGTAGTAAACTTGATGTTGAAAAAGCTGCCGGCTTCATCTCCGGTGTGGCGGAAGGATGCAAACAAGCCGGGTGCGCATTAATCGGCGGCGAGACAGCTGAGATGCCGGGAATGTACCAAGCAGACGACTATGACGCCGTCGGAGCTGCGGTTGGTGCTGTGACTAAAGAATCGATATTACCAAAAATGAAGGATATGGTTGATGGCGATATTTTGCTCGGGCTAGCCTCGAACGGAGTGCACTCTAATGGATTCTCGCTGGTGAGGAAGATTATCGATATAAACGGCATATCATACCAATCTGAAGCGCCGTGGGAGGCGGGTGTCACCGTTGGTGAATCGCTGCTGACACCAACGAGGATATACGTCAAGCCGCTGTTGAAGGTTTGCAAGAAGGGATTGGTGAAGGGGATGTCACATATTACTGGTGGCGGGTTGACAGAGAATATCCCGCGTATGTTGCCGAAGGATATGGCTGCGATTGTGGATGTGAAGCAGTGGAAGTTGTCGAGTTTGTTTAATTGGTTGAGGTTTAAAGGGAACTTGACGCATCAGGAATTCGCGAGGACATGGAATACGGGCATTGGTATGGTTCTTGTGGTGAGTGAGAAGGATTCGGAAGCCGTGAAGAAGGAGTTGGAGGAGGAAGGGGAAACAGTTTATAAGATTGGATTTTTGAGGAAGAAGGAAGATGATGGAGAGGAGGGGTGTCTATTGAAGAATTTGCAGGAGTGGGATTCGGGTTTCTCGGTGTAAATTATGGGGTTCTTTTTGGTGTGTATAAACGGAAGGTTAGCGAGAGAGGGGCATAAAAGCTATTGCATTTGAAATTGTATATATTTTGCCAAATACAAAAATACGAACTGAGAGCTTCAAATTTAACTTGCAAGCTCGTTTTATCAATAACTTAAATTCTAAAACTCCAAGCAGCAGTAATTTGGGTTGCAAGACTGTAAAGGCAAAAATGATTAGTTGAACCGCGGCCACATAGTAAGGAATTTATTTACAACTTCTAATGGAAATACCATTAACTGTGACCGAACTTGACGGTCAATTCATAGGAGCTTTCTAATTAGCAGGGCCAATTGGTGTCAAATGGAGCGCAATACCAGATGTTGTAATTTATTGCGCTTGTGTTGCCCAATGTGGATACCAAGTCGTCCATATCTTACGTACGTGCAAGGCTTCAAGCGCCCCGCACTCCAACGTCTTTTGAAGCGTTTCGAACTGACTAATGCACCTTGAAATTTCCGAAATTTCCGAATAATCAAAATGGAATCATCTATACCTTCTATGGCGAGCTCATCTCGGTAGGTAAAAACATCTAGAACTTTAGGCATGTCACGTCATTTCGAAATTTAGAGATCAACCTTGATGGATCCTGTGACGAATCTAACTTGGAAATCGATTGACACTTGAATAGATATGAAACCGCAGAAGTTTCGTCGCGGGTGATGGTTGAAAATGCCTCGAAAGAGCGACTGGAATATACGCAGGAGAAATTCGATAGCGCGGAGAGTAGTATGAAGACGCTTAGTATGAGGTATACTTTTACCCTTGTCATTTATCTTACCTCTCCCTTACGTTTTATATTTTGAATTTTGAATTTATTCTCAAAATGAACGGTTATATATTAATGATATATACCTACAGGGAAACTTCTATATCAGACTCTACAAAAGAATTATACTGGAGGAGAGACTCTAGCGCATCCATGGACACAGATGTGACAAGATTCCGACAACAACAGAAAGTCTTCGTCCCAACCGAAAGCTCACCATTTCTTCCCGACTATACGCTGGACAACTACCTAAGAGCAAACCCTAGAAGGAATCTCTTTTTCTGTGTCTTCCGGAAATCTTACGTCCTAAAAAGCGACGGCAGAACCAGACACATAGGTCTCATACCTTCCAACCAAACGACGCTTTGGATGCCAGATAAAGCAGTTGGATATCTCTATGAAATAGCTGCTTGGGGGTCTTTGATATACCACGGCCCGTTCCAGGACAATGAGAATGACTTTCTAGCGTTTTGGATGCAACGATCGGTTATCAAGCCACTAAAGAATCCAATTTCGGATGCACATTCGTTTCTGTACCTTCCTTGGGCAACGAATACTGTTGAAGGAAGTAATGTGATCCGTCTGGAGTCCCTCCCCAACGCTGAATTCAGCGGAAGCAAGCCACCGAAATTCCAAGCCATGCCAGCGTTGAGAAGTTTCCAGGGACCTGAGTTGATACAGGTGGTTAGTACCGAGAATGACTCGGGCACGTGGAAACGCATATTCAACATTCCAGGATACAAAGCTCGCAGACATTTGATAATACCGTCACAAACAATACAAAATTATACTGGCATGATGCTACTCTACGCCAATGTTACGAAACTAGTGGCGTTTATAATCGCATCGGGGAATTGCAATCCGGCAGATGTAGCTAAGTTTATGGTTCCGGATCCGAATGAATCGAAGATTATTATGTCAACGAGGTATACGAATACAAAAGTGTCTAAGGGGGAAAACTTTCTCAGTGATTATGCTTACCCGAGCATAAAATTACGGATGCTGCCGAGTGAGTGGGAGGGACAGGGTTGGATGTATACAGAATTGATAGGCTTGGATGTACTAGTTTCTTGAATTGCAAGTTATATAGTGCTTTTCCGGCTCTCGGTATTATTGTAACCACTAGGCTGCCTGAGAATACTACTACGATGTAATTCAAAGGCAAAGGCCATGTCTCTAGTCGGGTCGTGGGATGCTCTGAACTCTATATTCACGTCACACAACAATATATAGAACTAAGACTCACAACTTTCCCGCCAAATCAAGCGAGCATTATCCAAAGTGCAGGCTCGCAACGATTACAAAAGAAGAAACCTGCGAAAATATCAGGAGGTAAAAAGCGCAAAAATATAAAAAGAATATCCAATGGTGCTGCCGCCGGGAGTCGAACCCGGATCGTCCGCAAATTCTGAGCTTCACGCTCGGTGGGAAACGAACATCATACCGCTAGACCACAGCAGCCGACATCAGTTCGTGCCCAAAGATCGTGCTATCAATGATGTCGAGCTGCGGGCACCAATCAAATGCCTTGTTGGAATTTTGCAACGACAACACATAATGTATAGAAAATAAAGTCCTAGAAGGATATAACTATCTCGTACATGAGCCAATTGATGGTAATCAAAAAACGAAAATTCTTTTCCTTATTCATAGCCTATCTATATGAGTATTGCAAAAAAAGAAATCTATCGACAGCAGCGGAAAAACTCCGTATGAAATTTGAAAGAAGAAGACGTTTTGGGAAATCTCGAACCATGTGAGCGCGCTGACATAACCATAGTCTATCAAAACAAAAAAGCAAAACAAAGGGTCATAAATCGTCAAAAGTCGTAACAGTCGTACAATTGGGAAAAAAAGATAGAAAAAGTTCGATCCCATTCTAAAATCCCAGCCTAATCTACCTCCGTTCGATACCTCAATCCTGTGCCATCTAATCACGGCGGAATCTGAGCTTATAAGCATAAGCATCATCACTTGGGCTCGGACTTGCACTCGCTGGGGTAGTGATAATGACACTGACAGTACCCGATGTAGATATCGTCTTGCCGTCAGCATCAGTAACAAACTCCGTAGTTGTTCCAGCAGTCGGTCCAGGGGTAGTGACTGTGACCGTGTCTTGCGTTGGCGCCGGTCCCTCTTGCGTGCAGGTGATGATAACACTGACGGTACCAGAGGTAGTCACGGTTGACCCATTGCCGTCGGTGACAAACTCAGTTGTAGTACCGGGGGTAGGCCCCGGTGTCGTGACCGTCACCGTTGGTTGTGCCGGGACGTTGCTAGGAGGCGTCGTGATAATCACGCTCACAGTGCCAGAATTGGTGACAGTCGATCCATCTTCATCGGTAACAAATTCTGTTGTAGTGCCGGGAGTAGGCCCTGGCGTGGTGACTGTGACTGTCGGCTGAGGCGGACCGTTGCTAGGAGGAGTTGTGATAATTACGCTCACAGTACCGGAATTTGTTACAGTCGATCCATTTCCGTCCGTTACAAACTTAGTGGTTGTTCCAGGTGATGGGCCTGGAGTTGTAACAGTAACAGTGGGCTGCGGCGGGCCATTGCTAGGAGGAGTCGTGATAACGACGCTCACAGTACCCGAATTTGTTACAGTTGACCCGTTACTGTCGGTCACAAATTCAGTGGTTGTTCCTGCAGAAGGACCCGGTGTCGTGACTGTGACTGTAGGTTGCGGTGGGCCATTGCTGGGAGGTGTTGTGATAATTACGCTTACGGTACCAGAATTAGTGATAGTTGATCCCTTGCTATCCGTAACGAATTTTGTGGTTGTTCCAGGGGACGGGCCTGGAGTTGTGACAGTAACTGTGGGTTGTGCCGGGCCATTACCAGGAGGAGTCGTGATAATTACACTGACTGTTCCCGAAGTAGTAACCGTTTTACCCGTGTTATCAGTGACAAAGATGGTAGTAGTCCCGGGTGTAGGGCCTGGGGTTGTGACTGTGACAGTTTCTTGCTCAGTGTCGGTATCAGTTTCGGTCTCGGTCTCGGTCTCGGTCTCAGTAGGAGTGTCTGTGTCGGTCTGCTCATCTGGTGGTTTGCCGGTGATGATAGTAACATCGGTTGGAGGAAATTTTTCTTCATCTGGGCCTCTAGAAATATTTCCAACGGGGGGGGCGGGAGGTGGTTTAACGATTATGGGAGGTGCTGGAGGTTTTCCGGGTTTCACTTGTATGGGAATGCACCCTCCGAATGGGCCATTGGGCGCCGTATTCTCGCATCTGACCATACAGATATTTTTCACGCCGCTATAGGTACCGGTACAAGTAAGATCCTTGGGCATTTGAACAAGTAACTGAAATTTAGTCAACTTGTAGGTGTTAATGCCTCCAACGCCTGGAATATTATTCAAAATAGTCAATTGCGAGCTGAACCCCTTTCCGGAGCCACCGCGGTCGATTCTGCAAGAGTACGGTCCGGCTCCATCACCGTTAACCTGATGAAGCAAAATATCAAGGTAACCACCGGGCGTGACAAGAGGGATTTGCCCTTGTTTAGCGTACTGGTTGGTCCATGTGGCGATGTTAAGAATACCTTGTCCGTAGAAATTCTGTGGCATCTTGCAGCACATCGATTGTTTCTTAGCACCTGGATCCATGTCGTAAAATAGGGTTTGTTCCACAAAAACGGTTCGACCGCACCCGTTAGTGAGCTTAGTGCGACAAGCCGCACAGTTGTAATCGTAATGCGGACATGCTGTGCAATTCTTCTTATAGCACCACTTCTTTTTGCCGGCCTTCTTCTTCGCGCCGGCCTTCTTCTTCTTCGCACCGGCCTTCTTCTTCGTGCCAGCCTTCTTCTTTGCGCCGGCCTTCTTCTTTGCGGCTTTTTTTGCAGGAGATGGGTCTCTCTTGACCTTCTTCCCACATGCTACTCTGCAACCCTTGCACTTCCTGTTATAAGTTCCCATTTTGCATTTTTTACAATTCTCGTTTGGTCTGGTTGGATAAGAGAAGACAACCGTATCAAGCTGGCCGGAACTCGCGTGAGTATCTGTGCGAGCGGTGCCTGCACGGAAACCAAGCGCGTGGCCTACGATACCTTTGTTGGCGTCTCCGACAGCTGAGAGGATGACACCGTGGGCGGCGACAAGCTCCGCACCCGTAAAGGCGGAAAGCAGGAGCCTACCGAGATGCATCTCGATATCTCGTCTAGTTTAGGTTTATGGAAGTAAGATAGATAGAATCCCAGGCGGTGTACGAACGAGAAGAGGCTAATGTGAGATAAATGAATGTGCAAAATGCATCAAATGCAAATGGCGCTTGAAGGAAGCTGTTGGATGATAGGGGCTTACTGAGGCACGAGGATGGATATAACGAAGATGGGCCAACGGTGCTCTTTAAATATTTCACTGAAAAAAAAACTTCAAAGATGATAGAGTTAGAGAGCAGGGATAGCTAATGGTTAACAGTTAGTGTGCTATGGCACCCGATTGCATAACTGAGATTGCTTGATCAGTTCGAAGATACTTCGCGATATCGCATGATTCCCCTGCCTCTACCAACTCGAGAGGAACATACAAGACTAAACCTTATGATTGATTCTAGGAATCTAGAGGCAGGAGATGCCAGACCGCGTGGTAGATACCAGGCGCATCGATATATCGATAAACTGCAGCGCGATCCAGTTCAATATTAAATTTCGACGATCAAAAGATTTTATTGTCTTTGAAGACCCAACTGGGAGAGCCAAGATATGCGCCGATAAATCTACTTTATGATTTCCGCGGTGATTTCACGGTGCTTCTGGACTGTTTGAGTAACACCGCGCAAAGAAGCTCAGAAATTATCCAAAATTCCGATTTGCGTCTACCCGAATAGGTTCTTACATTATATTACCCGTCTTGGAACCGCATGTAAATTACACTTTAATCCTATTATTATGGGGACGGAAGCCATAGTTAATATAAGGATACACTAATAATCATTAAATTTAATATTATCAAGCGGGTTCGAGAATTCCTTTCCGCTTGCAGTTACTTTTTGAAAACCTTAACAAAAATCCTTTTCTGACCGTCCTTTGTGTGATGACAAAGCTCGTTAGATTCGATGAGTGGTGCCTGGGGCATTAAGTTCTACTATTCCAAGTTTTCGGGACTTCTTAGTATTCCCGGGTAGAGTATCTTTGTTGTTGAGATTTCGGCTCACGTCAAATTGCGAGTGCGAACTAGCTGTGTCGGATATCGCTCCGTAGGCTATGCATCATGGATCGCAATCGGGGTAGCTAGAAGATAGGATTTCAAAAGCTCAAAGATAAATAAGTATCTCGAAGAATAATCTTATAACCTTAAAACTTGGCGATTTCTTGAAACACCACTTTCGGTAAGACTATACCGTATAGGGCAGCTTGAATTTACCTGCTCGAAAACAAGACCCTCAGGAAAAGGGATGCTTGATAAACAGAAAAGCCAATATCCCGCCACCAGTAATGACTCCGAGTATATTAATTCTATTTACGTAGTGTCTAGAGCAGCTGGAGCCCGATATCAAATACTGGTAGATACTTGAATGCATGAAGAGTATCTAGAATTATTCTTCCACTCGAGCTTTTTTTCCGCTTTCGCCTATTTCCTTATTTCTTTGTGTATAAACCGAATATCCGCATAGGTGAGATTTTAAGCTTAAGTTATGAGCGTGTGTTCCAATATCTACTTAGACCTGGTTATTCGCAATAAAGCGAGAGGGGAGGGCGGAGGCTAATGGCGCCCATTAGACGGCTCCTAGTTTCCGAGGTCTAGCTTAGGTTCGAATAGGTTGTTATATGCCAGTATTTCATTCATACATTGCTTCGATCTCAGACCACTCATGTCAACATTGGCGTTTCTGCAACGGGAACTCCAGCCACAACGGAGCATTTATATTATTCTTATTATTTGAACAAGGCAAGGATTCTATATCTAGCCAGATTACCCCAGGCTGGTTCAATCTAACCGATTGAAGTAGCGTGCTGCATTGGTCTGAGGACTTTTACTTTATAAGGTTCGGCTTCATAGTTCACACCTTAATTTGAGCGTTATGCATCAAGCATAAAATCACAACCGTTAGGTCCATCTTGATCGCTACAGCTCTTACTCCTAAAATTTTGATAGTATAGATAAAACCGGTTTATAGTGATATGACACATCAAAAGCTAGGGCTGTATTAAGCTATCAGATTCCAAAGGGAATCGTAACCCACGTTTCGAGACAAGATAGCTATTCGAAGCGAATCTTCCACACGGAAACCCGGGTTGATCTTGAATTTCTTCCTCCTTCTTTATTATCAAAACCTACTTAAGCGGAATTAGAATGGCTTATGCTAATCTTAATGGATTCGCTACTTTTACAAGATGTAGGATACGGATTTATCGATATCTGGGCGCCTAGACATAGATAATATTCCGATACCGATAGCTAGAGCATCGAACCTGGATTTTCCTTTTCTGTATCTGTAAAAAGTCTTGTCAGCTTT